GCTGCTTCTCGGGATTTGGCCAGTCTCCTCCCCCTAGTGGTGAGAACTTGGTCAGAACAATTGTAAATAATAAGTAGCAGAGTACTCAGAGCTGCCTGCGTAAGAAATGAAGAGCATAAGTATGTTTCACAAAAATAAAATACGTATAAGATAGAAAGTCAGTAAGACAAAAAAACTGGAGTTTTGGAATATATCAGATAGGCACTTTCATTAGGATGAGCAGAGTGTGCTTTACATGAAAGATCAATCATGTGAGACTGTGAACCCTGTTGAGATCAAGTTTTTGTTTCTATAAAGTGGCCAACTTACAATAAGCATTATTCCATATGCATGCATATTTTGATTTGCAGTGCTTGGATTGCAGGAAGTCAATGCAAAGCAGCCTGTAACATAAAACAATGAATGGTCAGCTGCTTTATGCAGAGAGTACTGGATAAACTACAGTCCAAATTTCTGGTTAGAAGGAAAAGGGGCGCGATCGCTGACAAAAGTGCTGCAATTAGGAACATAATAAAATTTCATTTGAGAAATAGATTGAAATAAAACTTACGTTTCTCAGATGTAGAACCCATTCTGCAGTAGTGTCTGCAATTGGTTGAACAAATATTTAATAGGAAGAACATATAATATGAAGGAAGGAAGGACGAATTGCATGCGTCGTATATAATTCAAGAATATGATGAGCACACAATTAACTAAAAATTGAACAAGTGCGATAAGTGATGTAGGGATGAACTTAATACCCACTACTACAAGGAATTCTTTTCACGGTGGTTGGACAATATGATCCAGCTGAACAAAATACTTCACTACTACTGCCAACATCAGCCCATATATTTGCTCCTCCACAAGTATGGTTTGGTTGCCCTGGAGGTAGTTGGTAAATGTATCTGCAAAACCACATCAAAATATAGTTTTGACAAATTATAGGCTGTGTTGAACAGCATAAATAAAGTGATCATTAAAGCTAGAATCTGAACTTACGGTTCACACACACCAGTTGTTTTGTTCAGAGTTGCCATGGGACAATAAGAACCCGATGGGCAAGCTTCAAGAAATTGGAAGAAAGCAAAGAAATAATCAGAAGCATCCTATAATAAAGGAAAATACATTACATAGAAACAAAGTACCACTTAAATACTGGGAGATATTGATTAAAAGGCCTTAAAGTAACACAATACATCATCAACACCATACTTTGTCCTTTCCCAGAAGATTATTAAGAAAGAAAACACTAAAGGATTTAAATTACTTACGTATCATGCATGTGATGCCATGGGGACAGAAGAATCCCTCACAACATGGCTGGCAGGTCTGAGTCCTGGCAGGGATGTCCTGTGAATTTTCTAGGTCAATCTGCTGATTTGGGCCAACACTACAAGCCCATCCTGGCTCACACCCAGAAACCCATGAGGTTAAATTACAGTTCTTATTAGGTTTTAAGTAATTTGCACTCTTGGATTTTTCAAAGAAATTGTTGAAGTAGAACTTCATTTCTGCTGCTGTACACAAGCGCCGTGTAACGTCTCCTGTTGAACCATCAAAAGAACCAGGCAAAATAAATTAAATATTCATTTCGGCCACCGTTAAATCTTTCAGCCACTCTAAGCTAGATATAATGAAGCAAAACAAACATCTACATTTGATTGCCTAGACACAAACAAAAATATTTTGAATTTGTCCATTTCCTACATTACTTAAGAACCAGACATAGTAAGATTCACTCTTCCTTCTAATTACAAGTACTTATACCTTTAGTCTTTTGAATGCATGAAGATAGGAATTCCACATTGGATGAAAAATTAAAAGCCTGGTTCCAATCAGCTTCCCTGAAATACAAATTTTATATCAAACTCTAAGAATAGTCTAACTGAGCAATTGCAATAAGTAAAAGAATAAACATTATGCTTCAATTGGTTAAGTTGAGTTGACTTCTCACAACCCATTATTAAAATCCAATCACCCTCTTCTTCTTCTTTTTTTCATGCATTTTCTCAGCAACAAAACAGAGAGAGTAAAGTGAATAAAGCTTACGGGTCCTTTACGCAGAAGCTGGAACGATTGCTAATCTGTCGACTGAGAACTGCTGTGACATTGGATATGCGGCCATAGAGAATCTGTGTGATGAAAGGAAGAACAGCAGGGTTGTCAATTTGATCATTGTCACCAACATCTTGGCACTGAACCAATTGCCCCCAATGCACCAAGCTCAAAGCTAAGATGCCAAGTGAAGCAAATGTGCAAAAGTTGGTGCCTTTGAGGCTCTTGGAGCTCATTATGAAAAACAAATACCAAATTTCAAATGGGTTTTGGAAATTTAGTGGGAAAAAGTGAAAGAAAAAAAAAAAAAAAATTCTGGGTTTAACCCCTTTTTCTCTGCTCAATACATTGACCCAAAACAAAAAATGGAACTTGGTGTGAGATCTGAATGTGGGCTTGGAAACAAACTGAAGGGGGTTTCTGGTTAATGGGTGATAGAGAGAAAGAGAGAAACAGAGGCCATGTGTTTTGAGGTTGAGTTCAGAAGTCAAATGGAAGGGAGCTTGAGAGAAGCAAAGAACGTGGGTGAGAGAAGGAAGAAGAAGATGCAGTGGGGCCTGAGATGAAGTAAACAAAAGCACGTTCGAACTAGTTTGCTTGGAGCCGGCTTTCAGACATGTCTTGTCTTATTGTCTCTGTCTGAAACAATTCCGCAGGACAAAGGTTTGAGGGTTTTGTTAAATCTATGCGCCATTTGGGAGGCAAAAGCGTGTTTCACCAATAAAAATCATTATACAATAATTTAAAATAATTAATTGCATTAAGTTATTAAATATTAGTTTTATATAACTTAAAATTTTCTTTTTCTGATTTGCTCATCTAATTTAGAACTTCTGAATTACTAATGGAATTGCCAAAACATGGGGTTTACAGCTAATACACATAGCACGGAATTTTATGATAATGTAGTTTTGAGTTTTTATTAAAACTTAAATTCCTTAATTAAAATCCCTAAGCAATGATTTTTTTCAGGGTAATTTTATAAGGCCATGTTGCATGTTTCATGCATCTTTCATAAAAATGGAACCTACTTTTACATGTGTGTCATCATCCTTACTTGTGGTACAAATAATAGAATTTTACAAGAAAAAGACAGCCAATCACAGTTGTTTCTTTTGCCCTTCTGATATAATTTATGAAGAAAAAAAAATTATTGGAACAGGAAATCAATAAAAATAAAATTAGTACCTGTTAAGAATATATTTTCTAAGAAGAAATGTGAACTATGGGTTTTCCTTTTGGCACAGGCCTGTGTTAGTTGCGATGAGCCTAGCTTACTTTGTTGGCCTTTATATTAGGCCTTTGATCAAGTGTCAAGAAATAGGTACTCAAGCCCAGTCCATAATTATAATTGTTTTTTTTTAATAGAAATTTTTAAGTATAAATTAAAGGTTTATTTATGGATATGCTCATATGTTTTCAAAATAGTCTCAGATTACCACATGTTCTTTAAAATGTCTTAATATACCACCTATACTTTCAATAAGTGTCTCACATTAGCTATTCCGTCATATTTGAGAGAAGTTTTGTTAGCTGATGTGGCCCCCACTTCTTTTCAATCTCTTAACAAGGGAGATGAAGGGTTAGTTTGAGAAAATGGGAATTTGGGAGAACAAGGTTAGGTTGAGGGAATTTGATTTGAGGATTTCAGATTTGGGAGAAGAAGGAATAGTATCTGAAATTCCCTCAACCTAACATTCTTCTCCCAAATTCCCCATTTTCTTAACCTGACTAATACTTCCTCTTCCTTGTTAAGAGATTGAAAAGAAGTGAGGGCCACATCAGCTACGAAACTTCTCTCAAATCTGACAGAATAGCTAACGTGAGACACTTATTGAAAATATAGGTGGTATATTGAGACATTTCAAAGAACATGTGGTAATCTGAGACTATTTTGAAAGCACAAGAGGCATATCTATAAATAAAAATAGTTCATCACTATTGCCCAATAAAAAAGCGCCTATGCTTGCATACCAAAGATAGAATCGAAGTATCAGGTTCGAATCTCGGTGGCATTTTAGTTGTGTGTGTGTGAGAAACCCCTCTTCTCTGTAGTTTAGAGACAATCACTTGTACTAAAAAAAAATTCATCACTATCACTTAATTTTATTTATATTTATTTATAGTGATAAATGATAAGTCAGTTTGTCCCTCTCGTATTGGCTGGGAATCAAATTATACATTAATAACATGCGCACGAACGTGCAGATTATATATTTGCTTATGCAAAGAGATGAAGTAGAATATTCATTAATCTGGATTGGGTTATAGAAAATTGCAATGAAACTAAATTTTAAATATAATTGTCAGGAGGATCCTCTAGTGTATCAGAGCGGCCCACCCAATGACACATAAGTACAGCCTTAAACGAGGCCAAACTCTCCCTTCTTCCTCTGGGTTCGATTCACGTAAAAGACAATTTTGAGACAACCCAATATATACTCCACCTACCTAGCAAATGACAAAAAATAAAAAGTAATTTATTGTTCAAATAATTGACAGAAACATAAGCTTGATGAATGTGGCTTATTGTTAATTTGCTATCATTTTCAACCAAAACATAAGCCAAGTTTACACATTTTAAGATATTGGTTATGCTTTTAGACCCCCCAAAAAAAAAGGGTTCTGCTTCAGTCTTCAGATACATAATGAGCAGCTTAAACATGTTGATTTGCATTACAGATGCTTCCAACTTTCTGATTTGTCATTATTTTCTGTTTTTTGGTCAAATGATTTGTTACTGTTAAGAAAATTGAAAGCATGATAAATCCAAATATTATATATGTGGCTGGAATTAAATAATTGGCAGCATTTGGGCATGGTCATGCAGCTTCTACAAGTAGATTTATTCTTACCTCTGAACCTTGGGATGTTTTATGGGCTAAGCTACCCCACAGAATCAAGCAATTTTGGGGTGTGTGGTCTCCAACTTGCAACAACCTCTCTTTGTTAAAACAAGCATTTAAATATACAACACATATTATTATACACTGCAGATGATGACTGGTTCTTCTTCTTTTGCTGCTTTGCTAGCTTGATGACTCGTTCTTTGAGAAACCCATCTTAAAGTTTATACCTTTTCTTTTAAACAAAGCTATCCATCCATCTCTCAATCTTCTCACTCGGTATTCGCTTTCATACATAACTTTCTTCCCCTACAAATACAATTCAATCTCTTTTTAAAAAATATTTGGGTATCTTTTGCACTCTCCCTTTACCAATATTTGTCCGTCTTTTGCTCTCTCTCTCTCCCGCTCTCTCAATATTTTTTTTTGTTTTTTGTTTTATTTTTTTCCGTTGGGGTGCTTAGTTGGTGAGCTAGACCCCAGCTGCCTTGTATTGACTTGCCTTAGATCATGGAGTGCTCGTTGTTCCTTTGGATGCTCTTAAGCCTTTTTGCAGGATCCCAGGTCTGTCCTTAGAAGGACCAAAACTAACCGCATAGGGTGGCAAATTATTCCTGCAATGATATCTGTAGGGCTTGAACAACATATGTGAGAGGTGAGTTCTCTGTGTACTTGAATTCTGTTTTGGCAAGTGAATTGACCTTTTTTTTTTCCTTATGCATGCCAATGAATTTTACTGTTTATGAGAATTCATTTGACTGGAAATGAAATGAGATTCTGGGTCTTGATGATAGTTTCCCAAGAATTTGATTCTTAGATTTTTATCTTGGTTTGACTTTTTTCTTCTTTTGCCTTAATGTTTTGTCTCAAATAAAGGATTTGTTGTGCAAATTTGACCAGAGTCAGAACATGAATGCTTAAAGATAAGGTCTGAGGAAGTTTCTGGTATATGAGATGAAAATTTAGGCTGTGTTAGGTATTAATTTCATAATTAGACTGTTTGATTAGGTATTGTAAATATATAAAATTTTATGGGGAAATATTTGGGATATATAGGAAAAAGAGAAAGTTGTGAGAGTAACTGGTAGGTCAAAGTTTTCAAAGCCTTTTCTAACTTTATGGTGAAATTATTGAAACATTTAATTTAAGTTTAAGATATGACTGTTTTCTAATTGAATGTATGAAGAGCAAATTTTGGGTATAGTCCATTTGAATTTTCATAAACACCCGGGAGTTTTCTTCCTTTTTATATGTGAAATTCTTAAGATATGACAACAATTGTGTTTGTCTAATGCAGTGAGGCCATCAGCTTTCTGCAGGCAATGAAGTGCTTTTATTTCTACAACAAAGAGAAGAATGATGAAGCAAAGACTACGAAGTCTACTTCTACTCGTTCCACTTCCGCTTTCTTTTCACTTGATCGTGACCCGAGAAAATCTGGTTCCGAGTCTAATTCTCAGAATGCCACAGAATTTAGCACAGCATCCTCTGCCAAGTCATTTGCAGCATTGTCGCAGCGACAGAGTAATCTCCGAGAATTCACATGCTCAGAGTTAAAAGCAGCAACAAAGAATTTTAGTCTCTCCCTCATGCTTGGAGAGGGTGGGTTTGGTGGTGTGTATAGGGGTGTCATCCGGACCACAGAAGATCCACATAAAAAGATAGATGTTGCTGTTAAGCAACTGAGTAAAAGGGGATTTCAGGCAAGTCTTCTTCTTCTTCTGTATTGATACCAGGTCCAAACCTAGCATAGTCTACATACGCTAATTTAACAGTGAGAGTAAAAAATTATGATCTGGTAACAATATTACCGGCACATGATGCATTTTTTAACTTGTGACAGGAACTACTGCACTAGTTGACTTAAAAATAAGAAAGTTCTGATAAATAGCAAACTAATTGTTGTTAAGGAGAAACTAGCAAGGATTATTTATGTAAGGAAATTTACGCATTCTTGAAAATTGTCAAAACTCAAGCTTGCAAAAATTCATCACTATAATGTTAATCATGTCCTAGTTGTCATTTGTCATGTTATAAATCCCTAGTTCTGCTACTTATAGTAAGTCAACCCAAAGAAAACTTGTTATGACTTCCTATAAATCTACGAACAAGATAACGCGAAGTGTAAACAGCCAGTAGGATCATTTTTCTGAAAAATAACAAAAAGGAATTGCTGTCACATATTTTCTTTTTCCTCTTTTTTTTCCAGTTCTAATTCGCACTATGCAATGCATTTCTTTCGATGTTTGATTTTTTTGACTGTCTCTTGTCTAACAGGGCCACAAAGAGTGGGTGACTGAAGTGAATGTTTTAGGGGTTGTTGAACATGCAAATCTTGTCAAACTGTTAGGCTACTGTGCTGAGGATGATGAAAGAGGGATCCAGCGGCTCCTTGTATATGAATATATGCCCAACAGGAGTGTGCAGGATCACTTATCAAGCCGATTTCAGATAGCTCTTCCATGGGGTACAAGAATGAAAATCGCCCAGGATGCTGCTCGTGGCTTAGCATACCTCCATGAAGGGATGGAATTTCAGGTAATTTCTAATCCTTGCTGCAGTTATACTAAAGATTGGGGTGTCTCACATAGAGCATATACATTTTCTCTAGTAGGTTAGTATTTATTAAGTGGTATAGTTTTTGTCAACACCAGTTCATTTCCATACAGAAATGTAATGGCAAAGCCACAATTTCCTTGTAGGGATCAATTTGGTTTGTTATTTGCTATATGCAATATGATTTTCAAGTGAAAATTAACTACAGATTTTGGCTAGGAATGTTAAATTTTTGCTTCAGTTTTGCAACAAGATTAACAGGAGAATAATGCTATATTGTAATGTCTCTCTGATTGAAAGAAAGGACTATCTAAACTGTGATCGGGACACAAGGGAGCTGTATATCTTTTCAGGCTATAACCCTTCATTGGATGAGTTTCCAATCTGCTTCCACTGATTCTCTTATTTTGTTCTTTTTCAAATTACTCTGTGGCGCAGATTATCTTTAGGGATTTCAAGTCTTCAAACATACTTTTGGATGAACAATGGAATGCCAAGTTATCTGACTTCGGATTGGCTAGACTTGGGCCTTCAGATGGATTTAGCCACGTCTCTACTGCGGTATGTTTATATATATATATACCTTGGAATCTTTTCTCAAATATTAATTAGGCATGTCAAGAAGGTGAAACAGACGGCTCAATTATGCATGCAAAGTTGATTCAGCAATCACAAATTATGTAACAGTTGCAAATAGACTGTACATATCCTGCAAAAGTTTGACATTGTCATGAACTTATACATTAAAGGTCTCTCTGGTTTCTTTCTAACTTTTCAAGTTACTTTCCAATTGATCATCTTTCTACAGGTTGTTGGAACAGTAGGGTATGCAGCTCCTGAATACATTCAAACCGGACATCTCACATCTAAAAGTGATGTATGGAGCTATGGAGTTTTCCTTTATGAACTCATCACAGGCAGACGACCTGTGGACAGAAACCGACCCAAGAATGAGCAAAAACTCTTGGAATGGGTGAGGCCACACCTCTCTTCAGATGATCCAAGGCTTGAAGGGAAGTATTCCCTCAAGGCTGCCCAAAAACTAGCAGCTGTGGCCAGCCGGTGCTTGGTGCGACAGCCTAGATCACGCCCGAAAATGAGCGAAGTCGTGGAAATGTTGAACCGAATTATGGAGACAACGGATATGGGAAGCCCCGAACTCCCTCTGAAGGGTGTGGACTCCAAAGATGAATTTTACAGAGAGTCCAAAAGAGAGGTTTTAAGAAGGATGTTTGTGGATCCATTGATTGGAGAGAATGGTTGCTTAAATTGGCAAACATGGAGACCAAAGCTTGTGAATACATGTTGAAAGATGTTGGGGAGCACAATGGGAATTGGCATAATTGGTTTGATCATGCAATGGCTCATCTAACAATGATGCTTCATTTTTTTTCTTTTTCTTTTTTATAGGATCATGTAATGACAATCTGCTGTGTGTACTGTGGAAATAGAAGTGTAAAATCCTCATTGACTGATGCCTATAGATAACATTTTATATCAAAATTCCCAAATTAGGTTAATTACAGGTATTGGTGAACTAGACTGTCTCTATACAATTCTTGCTCAAACTTCCTTGACTGCTATAATTCGAAGGCCTTCGAGGGCTATGCCACGGTCATATTCTTAAAACTCTAGAGTAGTTTAGAATATTGCTTTGTAAAAATAAAATAAAAAACCGAGTTTTCAAAATTGCCCAATTTCCTTAATAGGAATTGTACAAGGTCCCTTTAATTTATGATATTGTTTATTTGAAAGAGCCAAGAGGAGGAGTGGAGTGGGTGAGGGGAAGCTCAAGTATCAGCCATTGGTGATCAAGAACAGTTCTCCTAGAGTTGGACATGAAAAGTTAAAATTTATTTATGAGTTACAAAAACACTTTTTAGGTGCTTCGTAAGGGAGAACTTCCAAGTGTTTATTTAGAGAGAACGTAAATTTGTAATAAAAATTTCAACATCCTTATACTAAAAGTAGTTCCAATAAAAGCACTTACGAGCATAACTTGTTTCAGAAACACTTTCAAATGAAGCAATTGCGTTTTGAGAATTTTTTATCAAATGACGGCAATTTTGAGTTAACATAAGGGTCTTCTACAGAAAATTACATTATTCTCTTTTTTGGTCGATAATTACACTGTTATCTTTAAATAAGATGTTTTCTTTTATATAAAATTTTTAATATTAAATATTGCTAGCTTTTGAATTTAAGGGTATACTGGAGAGTTTTGAATTTTTTTTTTTTTCAATTGTAGTATGATTTAAAGACAATTGGACTAATTTAAAATGGCCAATACAAATATAAAGAAAAAAGAAGAACATCAACTTTTTTTTTTGTTTTGACAAAGCAATATTCTAAACTATTCTATAATGTACGGAAGTGGGAATCGAACTCGAGTGCAAGGAGGCGGACACATACATCTTGGCCAACTGGCATATCCCACGTCTTCAAGATCAAATATTTTATAATTTGATTGAAGGAGCCACACTTACAACAATGAGAAATTTATTGCCTCTTATATTAATAATTTGGCTTTTAAAATTTAATTAGTAGTTATATTGATAATTTTACACGTGCTGATAATTTAAGTAAATTCATCACAATTAAAAATAACAATAATTCGTCTAATAATTGGTCCAACACGACTCTTTCTCTAGAATTTGAGACTTCAATCGGAGTCATGCTACAATTTATATTTTTAACTCTTTTTTATGGAACCAAAGAAGCTGACGCATCCATCTCTTTCCCAAATCGTTCCTCAGCAACACGAAACGTGGCACAATCACCAGGAAACCGGCAAACCCCGGTTACCAATGCCCGCGTGCCAAATCATCATGGCCCGGTTTCCGTATGTACAAAAGCGAGCCATATATAAAGGCCAACGGGATTTTCGATTTTCAAGAAAGCACGCTGAATCCAACGGCGGTTCTAATTTCAACGAACTTCTTATCTTCCTCCCTGTTATTCCTTTCCTTATTGGCAAGGTGGCGCGTGCCTTCGCAACCTCTTTTCAGTTTGTCTCCAACATTGTTTTGTCCCCAAAGACCATTCTTTTGATTTAAAGGTTCGTATAAATCACCATTGTTAGTTTAAATTAATTGTTTTTCATGTTAGTTTTCTGTATATGGGTATGTTGTAAATTCAAAGTTTGAACCTTTTCTGGATTTGATTTCAGTAGTTGAGAAGATTCAAAAGTTTGGACTTTAGGGTTTTGTGAATTGTGAAATTTCAGTTTTCTTAACGTTATGTGCAGTATATTTGTTCCTTTTTTGCTTTCCTCTGTTGGGTTGATTTAAAGTTCAGATTTTTGAATTGATAATGGGGTTAGTGATTGAAATTTGAGATAGATTTTAAGGCAATTGATTATATGATTATGAACTTTAGATGTTATGATTGCAAATTTAGTTTCCAATGTATATGATTATACCCTTTACTCGTTTCTTTTAGTTATTGAAATTTATTGGGCTTGCTAGGTTGCTTCGGGAGAAGCTCGAGTGTTGTTAAATGTTACACAGGCTCATGACATCGTATAAGCTTGATCCTGACGTTGTTCGCTGGGGTCTCCATCTCTTGGATGATGTTTGTACTCTTTCGAATGATAGTTCGCACAGTACTGTTACTCGTTATGACCAGGATTTTAGTCAAGTAGAGTATGTTAGAGAAGGTTATATTGAGCCTTGCATTGTGGAGAATGATGAGATTATAGCTCAGACTTACCAAGAAGAGTTATCGAGACTTGCTTCTGCAGAAGCATCAGGAGTCTCTGGTTGTGAAGATGGGAATTTGGAGGCGTCAATTCTAGGACAGGATTGGCTTGGTCCTTCAAACAGACACAGTGGTTCTGGTATGGGATTCTGTAAACAGACATTCTCATTTAGTTCTATGATTTGAGGTTGTACACTTGTTCACCTTATTGTAATGAAATGCTGGAAATTTGTAGGGCTTCAAAATTTTCAGGATACAGTGAATGATTTTGACATAAAGATAAACACTGATGATTATAGAGATAAAGAAAATGAGGCAGATGATCCTAGGAGACATGGAAGCGAGGAAGCAAACGATCATAGTGAAGGAGAATGCTCTGTCAATAGGGAAGACTTCTTACATTCATTGGACATAACAGATGAATCTACTCTTGATGGTGAAGTGGGGAGAAGATTGAATCAGTTGGTTTCTGTTCCTGTAAGTCTAGCTTTATGGAGTCATGCTACTGGCATTTTACCATAGAAGATTACTTTTACTTGTGTATATCATCTTCTGGCCATCTATTGGAATATCCTTTTTCAGTGCTTTTGGTTATTTGGTCCAGCCACGCTGATTGTGTTTTGTATTGCGTTAAACTGGAGTCTCACTGTCATCATTTCTTTTTTTGCAGCATATTCCTAGAACGAATGAGAACATACCCTCAGCTGATGAAGAGATATCAGATCATCAAAGGCTGTTAGAAAGGTATTTATGTTATTGCCCCTGAGGGTTATGTACTTAATTTGTGCGAGTAATGAATCATCTCCCGGGATATATTGTCAAATTTTATTTTGTCTATTATTTTATTTCATAGATTTACTTGTTATTTTCTTAAGCTATCAAAATGGATTTAATTGAGGTATGTTGAACTATAGCATGATATTGATCTAGATCCTCTATATTGATGGATTCACTGCTGACTATGAAGTTGTACATTTCTGGTGATTTTTCTAAATTGATTTATATCATCTCAACCCTTTAAAAACACTATTAAAAAGTGCTCGTCATAACTTTGGAAGGCCTATACTGGCAATTAGATTATTGTGTTTGGCACGCAATCAGAGGTAACTTGAAATAAGCTTTAAAAATTAAAACACTGAAATTAGCAGTTGTTAAAATTAGAACACCAAATAGCAGTTGTGATACGTGATTCTTGGAGGGACGGAGTAGAGGAGCATATACATAGATTTAGGGGAGACAATAATTTGTAGTTCAGGAATGTTTGGACAGTAGTGCATGGTTTCCTTCTTCTGCTGTATTGACATCATGCCAAGCACATAACTTCAGTGTGTTTATATGCCACACCAGCAGTTGCGACATTGCTTTCAATTACATTTTTATTGTCATTTTCTTTCGTTCTCAAATTGGATGTTCAGTGTGTTTTGTTTCCTGTTGGTTTGATTTTAACTACAGGGACAGTTTCAGAAATGTTTCACTTCGGATGTCTGATATTTTCTTTTTTCTTTAATAGACTCCAGTTGTATGATTTGGTGGAGTGTAAGGTCCAGGGAGATGGTAACTGTCAGGTTGGTCTTATTTTGAACTTTACTTTTAAATTCTTGTACATGAAACTCTCAAAGTTATTGCATAACTACATGTTTTTCCTCATTGTTGTGACACAAATAGCATTGTTCTATCAGTTTCTTTTTCTTTAATGAGCAAAATTTTATTGGACTACATCAAAAGGTTTATTCACTATGAATAATCTGATGAGATTTAGAATGATGCATTACCTATGATTTGTGAATTGTCCCGTCTAGCCTTGCTGAGTGTTGCTTTCTAAATTGTAACTGCACCGCTGGAATTTATGTATTCTACATGTGATTTAGAGTGGAAACATATCTCACTATATATGTGTGTTTTGACTTACAGTCCTTTACTCAGTTAACTTGATAGTGTCTCACTAGCATCTTATTTCCCCAGTTTCGTGCTTTATCAGATCAACTATATCGTTCTCCTGAGTACCATGGTGTTGTAAGAGAACAAGTTAATCAACAGGTTGGTTGGCATTTCAGTAAGTGAATCTTTAGGAGTTGAATTTAAATTATTTTTGTGATGCTGTTGCAGATGATATCCAATATGCTTATTGTTTGTACTCATCTTTTGATCTCTCAGCTCAGGAGTCACCCAGAAATGTATGAGGCTTATGTTCCTATGGCTTATACTGATTATCTAAAGAAGATGAGCAAGTATTGTGCTAATCTCCTAATTTATTCATGTTTTCCTATCTTACATCTATTTCTTGCTTATTTACTTGTTCTTCTTGATGTGGTTGAACTAGGAGTGGTGAATGGGGTGATCATGTCACATTGCAGGCTGCAGCAGATTCGGTACGAGGCAGTATTTTTTTGCTAGGTTTTTTTAATTAAAAGCATATCTGTTGTCTAGTTGCTCAATTGGTGCATGGATTGAACTTTTTACATTAGTAACTTTCCTGATTGGGGAGGTGGGCTCTTCTAAGTTTATTCTAGAGGGAATTTCCATTCTCAATTTTGCTGCTTATTTCTTCCTGTATGATGAGATGTTACGCAAGTTCCAGTTCTTAGTATTCTATGTAAAAGTGCAACAAGATGGTAATGATTTTATGGGACCCAGTCAAATTTGCATATCTTGTGTCTGTAGGTCATACACTAGGCAATATGTTTGTTTGTTTATGTTGCATGAAATATTACTTCTTCTTTTTTCCCCTTTCTCACTTGTTCATGAAAAGTTGGGCCAAGTAGTCTATTGCTTTCACAAGGGTGTCGTTAGTTCATATAGAAACT